ACCCCGACATCCCCATCCAGGAAGCCCCTGGGTCACCGGGTCACCTCTCCCCTGCACCTGGCCAGCAGGCCGCTCCCCTTCCCCCCACCCCCGCCACTCTGCCGTCCTCACTGGGGACCAGGGCTGAGCCCGAATCAAGCCGGAATCACCCCAAACCAGGACCCAAGTCTCCCCCAAGTGCAGGATGCCTGTCGCTCCAGGTCAGAAGCCTGGTCACTCTTCCGTAGGTGCCAGGGGGAGAAGCCCGTTTGTGTAGCTTTATGACCCGGGACAAACAGAGGACGAGAGGTGCTTTATGTGTCAGACGCTGCTGCCCGCTGTCCGTAAACCACGCCAGCGTCAGAGTTTGAAGTACTCGCTGCTCTGTGATTTCAAAATAAAATTTAAAATAACGGGACTTAAGGGAAATGTTTTTCTCCTGTAATGGATACTTCAGGTCTGACCACTGCCGCAAAGCAGAGGTGGCGTTTGCCGGATGGTATTCACTTCGGGTTTTCCGGGTAAGGTATTTTAACTGGTACTAGGCCAGCGACAGGTGACGTCTGCAGTGTAGGTGTCACGCACAGGATTATTGGGAGGGAAATACCTTATTTGGACGTGTGTTTTCTTAGAGACGTTTGAATCATCGGCTTTTGCTCAGTGCGTCGGAAGCGTTAGAGGGTAAGGTCCGCGGGCTGCCTCAGCTCGCCACCCCGAGCTGGGTCCGGGCTTTGTGATTTTAGTGACTCCTTCTCTGTCCTTCACACACACTCAACTGCTGCCCGTCCCCACAGCCCCTGTACGGGTCGGAGGCCACTATGCGGCTCCTCAGGCTCTGTTCCCCGCAGGGCTCCCGCCTCCGCCAGGTCCTCCGCCCTGAGCCCGCCGCCTCTGAGAGCGCCGGGTCTGTTCGGGTGACCAGCGCCCTCTCTCTTTGAGTGTGGCGGCCGGACTCAGCGACCTGACACTGGACTCGGGGCACTTCTGCCTGCCCCGCCCCAAGCCCGCTTTCCATCCTCTTTCCGGACTTGGCACCGGTCTGCTCCTCGCCGCTCATTCCCAGGACAAAGCCTTTAAGCTCGTTCTTTACCTCGCACCCCCACGTAGGTCAGTGACAAAGTCTGCAGGGACCACGTTCAAATAGATGCCAAATCCAGCCAATTCTGTCAACCCGAACCCCTCCGGTCGCAGCCTAAGCCATTTCAGAGCGATGGGGTGACCATGGCTACCAGCTGGGCCCCTCCCCCCACCCACGCCCTCTCCTGCCTCAGAAGGGACCAGGATGGACGAGTTTTCGGGGAGGCAGCTCAGGGGAACCTCCCTCCAGCCGAGTGTCCCTCGGCTCCCCACCTCCACCAGGGAGGTCCCTGACCGTCCCCCCTGCCAGGGAGAAAGGCTGTGACAGCCTCCTTGCATGAGTGACCCGATCGACATTGTCAGCGTCCCCCTGGAGCACGGCCCGCTCTCCGACCCCAGGGGCCGCTGCGCCGGGCCCTCCCTCTGTCTGCGTGATGAGCCCCGCGTGGCCGAAGCCCTTTAAGACCCCACTGGCGGAACGAAGCATGTGGTCGCTTACAGTCCCCAAATTCGGCGCTCATAGTTGGACATAGTGCTTGTCCGATCGTGTACAGCATTGATCTGCAATCCACTAGGCCAAATTCCTGGAGGCAGAATGCGTCTATTTCTAGAAAATGATATATAATCAGTGGCGAAAAACTCTATCTAATGGACTATGCTTGAAAACTTTCCAGTCGTGTAAATCTTGAAAATAGTGTGATCTTGATTTCGTGACAAATACTATGCCATCTACCGAAAAAAAAAAATTTTTTTTTTGAAATTAACTTTAGGGTCATACAAAAATATTGATAAAAAAGCCTTAAATAATGAATTTTTAAATGCTAATTTTAACAATATTCTTCTACTTCTGAGTTTCTATCCAGTGTTGATAGTTAAGATAAACAGTCTGTAGATGCTGTTTATTATCAAACTACTGGCGAGTGTAGACTGTTTTGACTAGCAAAGGACACATGACACAGACCGAATAAACTTATGCTCTCTGTTGACCTTTTAAGTTTCATAGTTTTTAATAGATTAATTGTTGATACGTTTATATTTTGATACCAGTTGGAAACCAAGCAGAAAGTTTTTATTTTACGCAATTGAATACCCGTTTTAAAAATGAGCATAGTTTAATCTATCATTGGGTAACTCTCCCGTTTTGTCATAAAAAGATCATTTTTCTCCCACTTTAAAGTAATCTTGGGAGAGAACTACACTGAGCAGGGACGCGGACAGGCTGTCCTCAGTGCCACGAGCCCACACGTGCTGTCCACCAATGCAGCAGGCGTGCGTGATACGCACACTCCCTGCGTGCACCGTACACCTCTTCCTGCGTGCACCGCACACTTCCTGTGTGCAACGCACACCTCTTCCTGCATGCACATCCACCGTCACTTCAGAGCGACAGAGTTTTCTCCGCTAGGAAAATGAGCTGTTGAGTTCCATGCCATGTTCAGACCAGGGACGGTCCCTGGTCCTGCCCACCCTCGCAGCGTGTCAAATGTGGCAGGGACCGTGGCTGCGGCTGCGTTCCTGATCGGCCTGACACTTTTCCTTAAAGCTTAGTTACCACATAATCCTGCTCAAAACACAGAGAAAGGG